TATATATATATATGTTTGTTGTGTGTGTATATATATATATATGTTGTTGTGTGTGTATATATATGTGTTGTTGTGTGTATATATATATATATATATGTTTGTGTGTGTGTGTGTGTGTGTGTGTGTGAGAGAGAATATTTTAGTTGAAACTCAGTCTCATAGTTTATTTCTTTAATGTTTAAATCACATTTATCTGGTTGCTAGAGCCAACCACAACTAGAAAAATCAGGTATGTTAAAAAGTTACTTCTAAGAATGAACTTAATTATAGAAAATCACAATCATTTTTCAGAACTTGGATTACTAAAGTGCTATGAACTGTCACTGTATATATAAATACAGTTCAAATTATGATAACATAGCTGATGCAAATAGCTATTACTTCATATATTTCTTAACAAAGTACATGATCTATTGTGTTATTACTGTAATGAAACCATAACAACTTGTCAAACACTTGCTCAGAAGTTTAAGGTTATTACAAAGGTTTTCCTAAATTATAAATGTTAATGTAATTTTTCCCCAACTGCACAGACCCTATTTTTAAGAAATTCAGAACTAAAGAGGTATCAGAATTATATCAGTTTTTACAATGGGACATCAGAAAGTGATTTTCAGAAATTTAAATAATTCTTATTCGTATGTTTATCATATACGTGTCTACAAGTATAGCCTTTTCAGAGATTTTAGGTATTTTTTTTTCTAGACCATGGTGGCAGTAATTGTTGCACATATGCTTTGATTGTTTACTTGGTGTTATGTAGGTAAAAATAATGATTTTCCACCAGTGAGATAGGAAGATATATATATATGTTTATCAGTGCTAATTCATGAATCCAGTTATCTGCTGCCATGATGAAATAATTGTTTGTCATGAAATATAACATCAACAAAAATTAAAGAGCCTAATATTCATGGGTGAATGCAACATGTCTCTATCACGCAATCTCAACATAGCTAATTTTGACACCAGAAAAATCATGGAAAAATGGACAAGTTCAACATTTTTGTTGGTCAATGTGTTTTGTTTGTAGAAATATATTTTTGTACTAAATTTTATGTAAATTGTCAAAACAAGGCTAAGTAATTGACCAAAACCCCTAAAATTATTGGTTTATTTAACCTTTTGACCACTCTAAAATGGCCAGAATTGGGGATATCTCACATTTTTGTATATATATGTTTGGGACCTGTGAAAAAGCGATCTTTTGTACCAAATCCCAAGTAAATATATAAAAATATGGCTGAGTAATTGATCAAAAACCCTAACATTTTGACAACCATATAGTGAATAAAAACGGGCAAGTCCACCATTTTTATTTGCCAATTTGTGGAACCTGTACAAAAGTATCTTTGTACCAAATCCCATGTAAATTTGTCAAAACATGGCCGAGTAATTGCCCCCAAACCCCTAAATTATACTTTTTATTGTGAGATCTGACCCCCCTAAAAAGACTCAAAATGGGCAAATCCAACTTTTTTTTTGTATTTCAATGTGTTGGACACATGAAAATTTATATTTGTGTGAATTTTCATGCTGATTGCTGTAAATATGACCATACAGGAGCCCAAAATATACAGATTTGGGTGGTTAGACCTTTGACCCATAAAATCCTAAAAAATGCCTAAATCGAAAAATGAAAAGGTATAACCCTACTAAGTTTCAAGTCAATCTGCTAAGAAATGAAGGAATAGCAGTCAATTGCAAAGTGTTTGGAAGAAGAAGAAAGAAATAAGAATCAATAGAAAAACAGTATGTCTCTCTGGGAAGACATAAAAATCATATTAAGCATACATTAGAATTATACTACCTTCCATTATAAAGTGTAGTAAAATAAGTTTGATTAACTTCAAATATGTCTTTCAACAGTAAAAGCCTTATATCTATTAAAACTCAGTCTTTAACAAATCTGTGTGTGTGTGTGTGTGTGTATTTACGGTATATATTATAATCACTACTCATTTGGTTTATCAATTTTCAGTAATCTTAAATGAAGCTTAAAGTGAACAGTAACAATCTAAAAATTGCTATTAAACTGTACAAATCTATCATTTACAGAGTTTTTTACATGTATACTGGACCTCCTTTTTCTTTTTTTACTAGTCAGTCAACTACTACTGTACGTTATCATTTGACTGTATTTGCATCTGTTATTTCTGGGTATTTATATCTAAACATTCGTGTGAGAATTTAACATTTTTATTCTCTTGAGAGAAACTCGTCTGCATGCTTGTTTTTAATATTGATATCAGAATAGTGAATTCATCATGAATTTTAACTCATTCATCCCACCAACTAAAAATGACTTAACTGTTTAAACCCTCTTATTTTTAACTAACCTTGTGTTACTAAATTTGTGTGTAATATTTAGCTTTCTAACAATAATATCCACTTTATCTTAGTCTTTATGGTTCTTGCCATTATATGACTTGTACAACCAGTTAAAATTAATTAGATAGCCAGCAGTCACAAAGTTTGATTGCCACCAAGCAGTCATGAATAAAGCCCAGGAATTTATATCTGTGTGACTTATAACATTCTTTGTTTAAGAGTAATGGATAAATCATGCTAAGAATGGTCCTTTTGTTTTTACATAGGTGTTTTACAGAACAGTGGAATTATGCCAGCAAAAACTTATAATCATTATGATGAGACATTAACCACCCAGAACACTGAACTAATGGGAGTTTTAGCAAATTTGAGACAGTATGAATTATTTTTATTGAATCTTCTGGTGAGTAAACAAAATTTTAATTTATTATTCGTTAATCAGTTTGTAAAAGAGAATTTTCTTACACTTTTAACAAGTGTTTCAGACAACATGAATTCGGATTTCCATATCACTACCACTACGTCTGTAGTGACAAATATTATAGTACTTTAACTTGCTATGTCTCAGGCTACAGGCTCTACGTTTTTGGCCGAGGAGATCGTGATTTTCTGATGAGAGTTGGAGTTCATCATGTGGCTGGTTGTTTTATTCCAAGACCAGGTACATCATTTTCTCGTCCGCTGAATCTGGGCAAGATTAAGATGCTTTGGATCACTTTTTCCCATCCCCTTCTATGGCTGTGCAACCCTGAATTTCTGCCTGTGGATGCTTCCAGGCTGTCCTCATCCTTCTTTTTATGTAGGTTAATTTTGTAAGTCTTCCCAATTTATTGCATTCAAAGGTGATGACTGCTCAACAACACTCCTCCTTTTTGTTTGGAGTTTTTCTCACCAATGGTACAGGCAACTATTTCATGGATTTTGGCAAGGTGAGAACACATTGATGGGGTATGCTCCTGCAGCACCCTTTCTCCTCAGATCTCAGGGTGTTTTGCGGTGTGTGGTCAGAAGGTTTACCCCTTCCAATACTCATTGACTTCCATTATCCCCATTTCTATTTCCTTCCTTCCTCCTCTGAAACCTTTTTTTTTCTGGCCAGAGTTTATCTGAGGTTCAGAATTTTCTTCTCTAAGATGCTATTGAACCTGTCAATCATATTTCTCCAGGATTTTATTCCAGGTTCTTGGTACTTCCACAGAAGGCTTGGAATGGGCATCCAATTATAGATCTCTTTAGTCTCAACAATTGTATCAACCGTCCTCATTTTTCCAACAGAGCTCTTCTTCACACTTTTGTGGGAATTTACTGTAGGTCTCTGAACCCATTTTTTCAAGGACACTTAGATGTTCTCAGCTCCATCCAAACATGCAACTCATGTGTGGTGGCTCATCTTGTTGGAGAAGTCCTTCATCCTTCCTTCTCCCTGCACAATACCCTTTCCACCTAAGAGTTTTTTTTGAACCTCTTCCTCAGTTGAGCCAAATTCTCCTCTTTGTTTAGGGTCAATGGTGTGCATGGTTTTCCAAGCCCATATACTCAAGGACTAGCATGAGTAAAACAGATGGGGATTGCTGCTTTTCCCTGCTGCTCTTTCAGTTGCATAAATGAGTAGCAGCCTGCTTGTAAAAATAGGGTCTCACAGTCACCAATTGCACTTTCTCCAGTGCTGCATTCTTCTGGACTCTCCAATATACACCCTCCCCCCTTCTTCCAGTAGAGTATGGAAGTCTTACCACTTACCAGCTCCTTGCCACTGGGATGGTGGACCATGGAGGCTTCCTCCTGAGTGTGCCCAATCTCACTCAGTTGAGAGTAGGGCAGTGGTGTAGAGCCTTGCTCCTAATGCAAACCATAAATGGAATCCCAACATTGACTGGTCATGGGCTGTAGATGATCCACCAAAATACAGTTCACCCCCTGGCTGGGACCCCTCATTCTACTGCCACTTATATATATATGTGTTGGTTCCTGGGTGGTGCGTTTATTGGATTAGAGCTGGACCAGCCAGTGTAAGTCCTCACATGCGAGTGGGCTGGGACCCTCTTCCCACTGCAGACTGGATGATACATTTCTGATGCCATGTGGTTTAGGATTAGGTTGAACCTCCAAGTTGCATTCCACCTTCCTAGGTAGATGTTGCTCTTGTATGTACAGGTATTATATGAATAATTATTGTATCCTTTCAACTTTACTTATTGCATATCCACAACAAGCTTCTATTTGTGAATTATTAAATCTATTAAAAGTTATATATAATTGTGCTGTCATCTATTCATACAAATAAATTACAATACTGTAGTTTTCAGCCCTCATCAGTCCGGTTACCTTTGTGAAAACTTAACTCTTTCAGTCACTGTCTAAATGAAAGAGTATAATGGTAGTATTAATGCTGTATACATGAACAATTTATAAACAATTAAGTACAAAGATTTATATGGTATCACCAGAAGGCTTTGGTGAAATAAGGATATTTAAATTATTTCCATTTTTGATAATTAAAAGTTTTACATTAGAAAGGTATGTAAGTCTTCCATAAACAAGGTATGTAATATTTCCATTAGCAAGGTTTGTAAGTTTCCAAGGTGCATAGATATTCTTTTGTTATAAAAGTGGAAAATGTTATTTAGGCAGTCTTTAACTGTGATTACTTCTAATGGTTAACATTATAATTTTAAGTTTTGAAAGCTTGTATTTTTGGATGAAACTACATAAATGTTGCTAAGTCTGTTTTGTAAGATTATCCAGTGCTAGGCTGTTTAAAGAATATTAGTTGGCTTTGATCATTGTTGGTCAGTATCAGTGTCAAGCACTCTTTCTTAGTTTTATGCTTATATGAATATTCAATCTGATTTTATAGAGTTGTGGTAATATAGCTAAGATTTTTGTCAGTGGAATTCTCTTGCGTAGTTAACATAAATTAATGTTTCATTTTCATAACTTTTATGTTTTAACTTAAATCGTTAATTAGCTGTACTATTAGATATTTTAATGAAACTGGAATTTGAATAAATGTGAAACACTAAATTTCAGCATTACATCAATATTTACCACAGCATAAGATTTTCTGTCTTTGTTCAATTTTGTGCCCACTAGTGATATAAATATGTCTGCATAATTTAAAGCTGCATCTTTGTATGAAATTTAAAACTACTCAGACATGCGATTTTCAAGTTAAATGTAGAATTATTAATTTCATTGTGAGTTTACTTACTAATTATAAGTATTATTTCATTGCAAATTACAGCTTTTACATAAAGAAATAATATTTTAAAATCATGTACATTGTTTGGATTGCAAACATTTTCAAGTTCTTGAAAGTGATCACACTAGTGATGGAAACATCGTACCTGTTTTAAAAATATTCTTCCTTACTGTAACTTGTAACAAAGTAATGTTTAACTTTAGAATGTTTAGTGCCAGTTGTAAAGATCAGAACCTTTTATAGGTGGTACTACACAAAGATTAAGAAATTTTACATTAATTACCAAAACTACTGTTTTATGGTAACCTTTAGTTATTGCGACTGTATTTATCTTGAGTGAACTTTCACATTTGTGTACATAGACCAAATTGTATTTGGGTAAGTCTAACTATTCTCCAGTGAAGTTGTTACATGTGATTGTTTTTTGTCTCTCTTTTCTGTTATATTTCCATCTAATGCAGCGATATGTATACAGATTGACAGAAAAGAACAATTGTTTTTCATAGTTTTTGTTACTGATATGAAACTTAATGCTAGTTAAAACAGTAAAGAATTAGGTTTTGTAGTATTGTATGAAGGAAATTTCAAACATTATATTGTTGCAAGTTAAGCACACTTAAACACAGCATTGTTTGATATATGTGTTTATAAAATAATAGTGAAAATCAAACAACTTTATCTTTCTTATTATGACATAATGTATGTTAGTGTTATACTAAACTGTGTCCAGAGAGCACTTTTCATTTAATCAGTATTATTCTACAAATAATGTGCCGTGTGATGAAACCTACTTAATATATACATTTCAGTCAGATGCATCACGTTGTAGACAGAAAGGGCAAGATCTACAGTTTCAGTTCAAGACAATCATTACTCAATTGCAGAAAGTTACTCAAACTAGAAGAGCTGTGTCAACTGTTCGAATGTTTGTAAGTAACAGTATATTATAAATAACCTTTATTTTATGCATGAAAAAATATATATATGAAATGTAAATCATCACTTCGTGGAAGAGTAACTTGTAAATATTTTTAACTGATCAGTCTTAACTATGTTTAAAGATAAATGGTCAGTAGTCCTAAATAATTATATAACTCGGGTTGTATTCTCAGTAATAATAATTTTACTAATCATCCATAGCAATTTTCTGTGCTACTTACATCCAAGAGATGTGGTTGTTTATTTACTATAAAATTCTTAATAAGATATGCTTTTTGGTAAAACTGAATTGCTGTTTGTTTATATAGAATAACAACTGGTCAAAGTTATAAAATCTAACTGTTGATTACATTCAACAGTTTAGCTTTCAGATAGCACATTGTGATAAACTATTTAAAATTAGGGTTGTTGGCTTGAAGAAAGTGTTAATTTTATGCTACTTACATTTCTTCTGAACTGATCCTCATAATTTCATGTATGTATAGAATTGAAATTGTTAAAGGACGATATACATGCTTCAAGAATTGGTCTACATTTTAAAAATGCTTGATTTGTATTTTATCTTGCCCCTGTTAGATGAAGGTCTACCTTTCAGAAGTTCTAAGGTCATTAGGATTTTTGAATTTTGTGCTTTATTAACTTTTCTATCTTTTGTAGTTGTTTAATGTCACAGATTTACTATTTAAATATATATACTTGCATGTTTTTCAGCCATTGTTTATTTCCCTTGCTAAAAATTGGAGTTTGATTCAAGAGGAATTGACGTTGCTGAGTATGTATTCTACAATAGAGAATGAACTTCAATCTTTCACACAGGTAAAGAAAGAATCCTGATGTACACTTGAGAGAAGATTCAAAGTATTTAATGTTTAGATTTTGATATGAAATCTTGATATATTGCTTCTCTGGCTCTGACCTGTATCGCAAATATACACAAGTAACTGTTCTTGAATTACTGTCATATGAAAAGTGGTCTATGATGAAGTATAAGATACAGATAGAGTATAAGTTAACATTCCCTAATATAATTGCAATAAATAAAGAAGAAACACTAAGGTTAATTGTTGATATCTGGATGAATGCAGTGACCTAGGTAGATACATTTCATCTGCTGTTAGTGTTGATACCTGGATGAATGCAGTGACCTAGGTAGGTACATTTCATCTGCTGTCAGTGTTGATATCTGGATGAATGCAGTGACCTAGGTAGATACATTTCATCTGCTGTCAGTGTTGATATCTGGATGAATGCAGTGACCTAGGTAGATACATTCCATCTGCTGTCAGTGTTGATATCTGGATCGATTCAGTGACCTAGGTAGGTACATTTCATCTGCCAAGGAGGTATAAACACTTGGATTGCAGTAGGCTGTTCTGTTTACACAAGTTTTTGTTAGAGCAAAGTCCTTAGTTGCAACCCATTAATAATTTGCCATTATACCTGTACATGTGTCTTGGACAGTAAGAAGTAATTTCACATTTCCGGAGGTTTTGCATCATATTACTGACATTTTTGTAACCAGTTGTTCCAGCGAACTAAGTGGAATACTTGCTTTGTGTGGAACCAATTCTACAAAATACAAATTCTTACTGTGGTGCTAATAGATATCGATGTTTGTGGCAAGTGAAATGCAGTCATGTTATTTTAAATAAGTGGTGACTAGGAGAGAGTACTTGTGTAGCAGGTCATTGAGAACATTAGCACAATAATCCTGTATGACTAATAGGTGTTGATCAGAATTATGTCTGTAAAACACTGGCACCACTTACACACACATAATAGATATTAATCAGAATTATTTCTGTAAAACACTGACACAACTTACACACACATAATAGATATTGATCAGAATTATTTCTGTAAAACACTGGCACCACTTACACACACATAATAGATATTGATCAGAATTATGTCTGTAAAACACTGGCACCACTTACACACACATAATAGATATTGATCAGAATTATTTCTGTAAAACACTGGCACCACTTACACACACATAATAGATATTGATCAGAATTATTTCTGTAAAACACTGGCACCATTTGCAAATACATAATAAGTGTTGATCAGAATTATGTCGTAAAACACTGACACCATTTACACACACAAGAGCTATTTTAGTGGCAGTTTGCTCTTTTAATAATTAAAATTGTCAAAGATGAGTCTTGAGTGCATCTCTTATGAAAATAGGGGTGATTAATTGATCCTTATTTCACAGTATTGACATGGTAATTAATAATGTTACAGTTATTTAGTGTTGAATATTCCAAACCTAAAATATTTTGCCAGGATGTAACTAGGAAATAGTAGTGGTTCAACAGACCATTAGAATTTTTCAAGCTTTGTCTACCCACTATAATCTAATTTAACGTTCACACTTCTTTACTTATCTGTCTTTTTTTTATTGTATACAGTACTCAAGCATGCTTTTATAAGTCGGACTTTGTTGCTTATCTTCGCTTAAAAAGTGAACATATTACAGTTTTGTACTTGAAAAATGGAAACCCATAAATATATAATTAAATAATGCATTTGGAACAGCGAGAATCAAATTGTGTCCAAACTAGATATGAGATCATACTAGACATAAAACTTAGAATTCATAATAATATTAGATGAGAACAGCCCACTTAACCCTCTCTCCATGGGCATCCTTTACTGCACATGTCACAAGGTTTTTAGTGAATTACATTCAAAATTTGATTAAACTACCTTACCAATTAATATAGCATAAAATTGTAGCTACTATTCCATAATAATAGTTTTTTTAAGTTTTAAGTTCTTAATTTTATAAGGCAATAAAAAATCCTGAATTTCCCCTAGTGTGAGAATTGTGACATTTTTTCTCTAGACATCCCTTCTTCTTGAATTTATTTACCACCCCTCCAATAAGTACGAAATTTAATGTAAAATCTTCATTGCTCAGACAAACCATAATTTTTATAGCCATCAATCAAACTTGTTTGGTTACAGATCCATCAAATACAAAATCAGATTCCTCTTGCCACACCTTTCACATCCTCTTTTTCAGGATTTGTCAGTTGTTCTCTCTTACGTTTAATACGATATTATTTCTAACCAAGAGAAAGCCAAGGTTTTCATCTATCTAATGACATATTATATTATGTTCTTTTTTCTCTACAGGGAATTGTAAATTTCTCTTTCAGTTCAAGCTTCATTCCCATAGGAAACAGATTGACTAGTTTGGATGAATTTGTAACAGCTCTTGTCACATAGTTAGAAAACCAGAAAAGTTGTGGTTGTTATGGGACATTGTTTTGCTTTTTGCATGTTATTATTCTATGTTCTTTGGTGGATTATTTAATTAAATAGAAATTATTTAGTGCACTACTTCCATTAGTATAAAAAGTAGGCTTAAGTGCCATCGACAATTGATAGCAAAAAAAAGAAGGCCCAGGTAAGTAGTTTATTTCTTGTTTTTCATGTGTATTCTTTATCTATTATTATAAAAGTAACTGAAATGTAAAAATAGGAATCTCTTTAGGTTAGATTAGGTAAAATATATAATAATAATACAATAACAATTTTCACTAGGCACTCATACAAGCAGCTCAGAGTAGCTCATGAGTAATGTAATTCAAGATAATAATGTGAGCCAGACATTTCCCAAGTGACTTATAACTTATAATGGTGCAAGTAGTAGTTAGGCACAATTCAAATGGCAATAAGACAATAAAATTTAAGTATAAATAAATGTATACTGTTACAAGTTTAAAGCCACTTAGGATAAACAAATGTAGTTACAATTTGGAGACATTCTAGAAAGAAAAAAAAGGGTAATTTAGATTTATTTCCTTTGTTCTGGTGGTTACGAGGCTAGTCAAACTTACCAACCTTGTATAGAGTTAAGGTAGAGAAAATAACAGATAAAATATAAAGTTTTACTGAAAAAAAAACTTTGAAATGTATTTAAGAGATTACAGATATGGAATTTGAAATTTTTGAGATGAAGAAAAGTATTTTTAATTTTAACATGAAAATCACATTGCACTTGGACTAGTCAAAAAATAAGACTTGATATATTCAGGGACAAATCTTTATTAATACTATTTCACTAAGAAATCTGATGTTTTATATGTAAAAAACATGTAATGTTTACTGAAAGTCTGCCAAATTTTGTGAAGATATACATACTACATCAAAAGTTAGTAGTATTAAAATTATAACGACTACAAAGTGGTCAATTCGACTGAGCTTGTATTGAGAAAGTTAACAGGCAAAAGAAGAGGAAAACACCAGAAAAATACCCCAAGCTTCAGCTAGTTAAAAAAAATCAAAATTATAAGAGTTCAAGTAGGAGAGATTCAGATGTTGCAAATGCCAGCAGGAGAGATTCAGATATTGCAAATGCCAGTTGTTCAGTGCAGGAGAGATTCAGATATTGCAAATGCCACATGTGTTCAGTGCTGGAGAGATTCAGATATCACAAATGCCACATGTGTTCAGTGCAGGAGAGATTTAGATATTGCAAATGTCACATGTGTTCAGTGCAGGAGAGATTCAGATATTGCAAATGTCACATGTGTTCAGTGTAGGAGAGATTCAGATATCACAAATGCCACATGTGTTCAGTGCAGGAGAGATTCAGATATTGCAAATGTCAGTTGTTCAGTGCAGGAGAGATTCAGATATCACAAATGCCACATGTGTTCAGTGCAGGAGAGATTCAGATATTGCAAATGCCAGTTGTTCAATGCAGGAGAGATTCAGATATCACAAATGCCACATGTGTTCAGTGCAGGAGAGATTCAGATATTGCAAATGTCACATGTTCAGTGCCAAAACTATTCACCAAGTTTGCTGAGGTTTATGTGCCTAATTAATTCTTTGCCTAACAAGTCACAGGTGCACGTAGTGAGAAAATTATTGCTTAATTCAGTGTTCCTACAGAGGTCTATAAACCAAAGTGCTTTACTTTAACAACAAACACTTGTTGAACAAGTTGTGCCAAATATTTTACTTTGGGTTGGGCAAGCAAGCCATCCTAACTTTGAAGAGTTTTGTTTATTAGTGACACCTGGGATGGTACACATGACAAGTATATGATATTCACTGAAGGGGAAATGTTTTAAGCAGTACAAATGTTAATGTTTTGCCTATTTGTTAACACAATTTGATACTGAAGCTGTGTATGCTAGTACACCTTTGTATACATTTCATGATAATTCGCTAAAAGAATGAAGTGTTTCACCAGTACTTTAGTCAATATTACAAAGTAGGATAATATTAGTTCTTGAAGGGTTAGTTAACACCCACTTTTAATGGGTTGTGAAAATTTTGCTTAAACTTGTGATTTTAATGCAGAGTTAAATCTTCCATTATTAACCATGAGTGACCTAGAAATAGTTTGGTGTTTGTTTTAGTAAAATTTATTTCTCTTCTTTTAAGTTCTAATTCATAAATTCAGAAACCAATTATTTGAATAAATCAGTCTATCGATATTTGTTCTGCATTTCTGGTTTTAAGACTTGTATATGTTAATGTAGTCTATATCATTGCCACATTTTAAGTTGTTCGATAATCATCATTCGATTCTGAGATTTGACATATGTTGTATTTTTCATAAGCATGTTCACATGATACCAGTAAAATCAAAAATACAAATTGTCATTGTAAATATCATAATGTTAATGTATTCCAAACACAAGCAACCTGTTTCACTAAAAACATTGAGAAGCACTTATGAAAACCTGGAGATAAGAATCAATTCTACCATAGTTCCTCTAAGAAATTATTAAATGTTTAAGGTTCTAAAGAAGACACAAAAGGTATACTAGGTAAATTTACCTATCACAGTGTTAACCTTATTGCTTCTTCTTAGTTCAAAATTTTATTATTAAGTTACCAGATTAATGACAGATTATACTTTGAATGTTTTATGAGTAATATTGAATGATGTAGTTTGTTTTTCAAGATATTAAATAGATTTTTGCTACTGATATTTAATTTACATTTGAAAAAATAAATATAAAACAAATTATTTTGATGTTGATCAAAATAAACACTGAATTATTCAAAAGTCTGAAAATTTTATACACTTTTTACTGTAAAGACTGAAAATTATGGTAATTTTCAAAAGTTGTTACTTCTATATATATTAAGCATTCACCTTTTAGTGTTTGTTTTAGTTAGGTACTTGTTTTTTGTTACATATAGAATAATCAATTTTTAAGAATATTTTGAAATGATGTTAAATCAACAATAAAGAAGAGTAATACTGCTCTATAGTTGTTGAAAGAACTTGTTTAGTTTAGAGAAAATTTTTCTTTAGTTTTTTTTTTAACTATGAGAATGTGTATACTGAATCAAGAAACTAAATAGATTTTTATTACCTCGCCACTCCTGCTCATTCATAAAAAAAGATCAGTGGTATGACTTTGCTAAGTAAAAAAAGATTTGCATTGAAGAAGGTTTGAGGAAATGCTTTTTTATTTATATATATACATATATATACTTTGTCAGCAAAAAAATGTATTAATAATAGACAATTTTATCATTATTATTGTATTTTACTCAGTTTTAAAAATGTATATGTAAAATATCTTTAAAATGAATGAATGCATCACATTATTATATACTGAAAGGTACATTGTGTCAGGTACGATAATTCTGTCATAGTATTTGATGTTTCTTCATAGTGATTGGCTTGAAAATATAACTTTATATCCTGTTTTACTTCTGCTTCTACAAAAATGTATTGTTAAAATGAAATGTAATAAAAAAATATCTTTTGTATTCCAAACAGCATAGTAAGTCACTACTGTGTGAAGTTTTTGAAGGCTTAGAAGTTGAACTTTCTGCTGTAGAACCAGAGGAGATAGATAAGAAAGAAATAAGGATCCATAAAGTTAGTCTTTGTCACTCAAGTGTAGACGTCATTTATCCAGAGACTGTTCTAAACTTTGAACTGCTTCCGCTTCAGTTCAGTGTAAGAAATGAAGATATTCTATTATGTGAACAAAGAATTCTAAATGAGATAGAAAGAAAACTATTCTTAATTTAAATAAATGCTAACTAGTGTTTCTTGTAATAATATAATTTTGTAATTTCGGGTTTTACTAACACTAAACCATGACCATACTTTGGTACTGATACTTTTATGTATCTAGTAGTTAACAAGTTATCACCCTTAATCTCCATTAATTGCATTTACCAATATATTATACAACTTGATCATAAAATGTATCAGACTTTTGTTCACTTTCTTTTTATTATTCTGACTTGTTACATTTAACTTGGGTATTTCTTTATTGTGTGTGTGTGTCATAATGGATAATGTCTGAGGTAATTATCCCCAAATGCATTGGGAATATGCCATCTATCAGACAAAATCCAAAAGCCAATCTAGTCAAACGTCATGGAAAATCTTAAAAAATTAATCAAATAAGGGTACAAAGTTGAGTGCTTACACCCACAACATTTCAGCTTTTGCTGCCTTTCACTGTCAATAGTTAGTTGAGGGAAGGCAGTTATCCTTAAATTTCTTAGAGTAGAAATGAATTTAAATTAAGCCACCCAAATATTTCTACTAAATAACTCCCAACCTCCACCCTTACAAAAATATATTAAATAGAACTAAAAGATATAAAGATATATTAAGTTTGGGGTAAAATTCATATTATTTATAGATACTAAATCATCTATTTAACAGAAAGTGTTATTTGTATAAGTTAGGATTGAAAGTTGCTTCATAAATGAGTTTTCATAAAAGTACAGATATAAGTTGTCCATATATCCAACAGAACTTACAATAGAAAGAAGAAATAATAATAATAATGAAGTCCATGCTAATTATTTAGATTTGTACATTACTTTTATAGAAGGTACAGTGTAGTTGACTATTTTTGATAAAAGAAGATAATTTAATTTTCCCACTCTTGGTCTACCCACACCTAATAGTCTATTGCAAAGTTGTATTTAGAAAGAATAAACTAGTTTTATTTAAGAAAGGACTTGTATCCCTAAAGTTTCTTCGGAAAGAATTTTTACGGAAAATTAACTAACGAACGGAGACGTAACAAATTGGTGTCAGGAGTGGGATAGAAAAAAAAAAGAAGATGGAAATGAGAGGCGGAAAAGCAAACTACAGCTTAGCAGATTTGATGCCAGCAATACAAGAACAGCAAAAGAAACAAGAAGAACGAGAAGAGAAACAAGACGAGAAA